TTTTTTTTTCCTCTTTTCTTAACAGTTGCCTTCAATTGCTGAACATTTCTTGTTTTTCATACAGAGTTTCTACTCACTATTTTTAGTGTTTTGTTTGACTAGAGCTTGCTGGTTTTATTTTCCCTTAATCTTTTACCGTAATTCAGGAGGACGTTCAGCTGATTCTTCTTTCCAACAGTCAGAGAACAGATCTCCTGCGTCTGCCAACATAACATCCACTAGCGCCGTATTGCCAGTTCCCGATGCGACAGTTTATGCGTCACCTGTCCGCTCAGGTAATCAGTGTTGCAACTTCTTATCTTTTCTTGTGAGTTTTTCGTTATTGCTTCTGGTTTCCAGCACCCGTTTCACCGGATGCGCAGCAGCGACCACAAAGGACTTTAATCATAAAAATGGGCTCAGTAACAAGTCCTGAAAGTCCTCATGCCTCTACACTTTGTCAGACTACTGAAGACGTCACTTCAGCGGAAGCGCGTCATGCAGCTCTTCATAAACCTGCACCCAGGGTTTACCTTCCATCTGCTCCTGCCTTTGTTGTAAGAGCGCCGCAGGTTTCTGAAACACAAGTTACTCCGCCTCACGCCGCAGGACCTTCCGTTCATGGCCCATCGACTTATGCTGCGTCTGTTTTGGATCATACAGTCCCCAGGAACTTCGATGCTCGGGAAGGGAACGTACTTCCAGATGGACATCCGAGGACCTGGACTGTGAGTTATTTTCTGCAGTTTTTTTCTTTTATCATCCTGTACTGACCATTTGCTGGTTTATTTTCTTCTTTACCCGGCATGTTCCAAACAGGCATAAGTTTGTATACTGTTTCATTTGCTATAGTGCGACGAAGTAGCTACATGGGTAACGCGAGTGACCGGAACAGACGCTATTGGAGAGAAATTTAGAAATCAGGATGTTGATGGTCAATCATTGTTACTGATGGCTGAAAGCGAAGGGGGTATTGCTGCTCTTTTAACGCAGAAGCTACTCCTGAAGTTAGGACCCGTTTTGAAGCTAGAAAAGGCGTTGAAAGATTTGATTGCGAGAAACAACGACTGAAACTTGGTTTTTCCGTTTGTACTTGATTTGTCTTGCTTTTATGGGGACAGGGCTCCTCTTGGAATGCAAAAGTCTACCGAAACAATATTCTTAAAGCTCCTCCTTATCTCGCAGGACTTGGTGACATTCCATATTTTCCATTTAAGTTTCTAAATAGGGCCAGTGCAAGGCATCTTTTGCAAGTTACTGTTCTTTCTGGTTTTCTGAAGGTACTCTATTTGCATATTATTTTTTTCCTTATCAATCGGATATCCTTTTTTTTGCCGCCGTCCTACCAATTTCTCCCGCGGTTTGGGCGGTTCTGTTTCTATTGCGTAGGTTTCCAAATGATTACCACAGTTTCTTGTTATTATTGTTACCTCAGTTAGTGGAAGTAAAATCGGTATCTTGGGGTTACAGCAAATGCGTTACACTGACAGTATTAAATAGGCACAGGGTCTCGGCAGTTATCAATTCGTCTATGGACCGCTATATAGCAGAAGTCAAGAGAGAACTGAATGGCAGCTCCTTCACATCAAAAACGAACAAGTTCGAGAAGGGATTGAAAAAGCTTTTGCAAGTAAGCTAAAAAGGGTAAAAACTAAAACTGGGAGTTTTCTTTAATTAAAAACGTTGCATGAACGTCAGGCAGTGTGTTTTACATCTGTGGGAGACTTGGAACATTGTCTTAATCTGCTTGGTGTAAAAATCAGATCCTTCAGCCATTTTTCGGCCGAATCGAGTAGTTCTGAAAAGAAGAACATTACATTCAGGCTTAAGAGACTATAAGTAAGAATTATTTAGTGAAGATTAGTTTTACTCGTACTAATCAGACTTCATCCTATTACTGCATTTATCTTCACTAAGCCTATTATTTATAGTATCTTAAGGCTGAGTGGTGATGTCTACCCTTCCAGAATTACTTGGTTCACCCAAAAAACAGCTAAGGGACTTGACTTTTAAACCAAGTGGATCAAGACATTGTTCCAAGTCTTTCACAAATGCAAAGCACACAGCTATTGCCTAAGGCTTTTGTGATGTTTTTAATTACAGGGGATTCCCAGTTTTATTTCTTACCCTTTCCTGGATTATTTGCTGGAGCTTTTTCAATTCTTTCTTGTTCAATATTTCTTCGTTTTTAGTGTAGGGCAGCCGCCATTTACTGCTTTTTTGTCTCCTTTTATACAGCAGTCCGTAAACGAATTTATAACTACCAAGAATCTGTGTCTGATTTAATACCGTCAATGTAACGCACTTGCTGTAACTCCAGGACACTGAATTTACTTCCACTAGCAGAGTTTGCGAGTAGACTTGGTTCCTACTCTTCTCGCAAACATTCATTTGTTAACGTCATTTGTTTGTACTACTAATAAACTGCTTAACCAGTACGGATTTACCATTTTTTGAAAGGTTAAGGTCCCTTTTGATAAGGAGCGACTTAACCTGGTTGTCTTCCAAAACTTTGTGAGCCTTTGTGGAAAGAATATGGGATAACCAAAATTAGGCACACTGCATCATGGCGGAAGGCAGTAGCCAATGACTATAAAGTCAGACGTTATCCTGTCGGTCTTAAATTCCAAGCACAGCACTTTTATTCTCAACAGCTGCTCCGCCAAAACCATATCTCCAACTCAGCATACAATTAAAAAATTTATCCAAACATGTACAAAACAAAACCAAAACTTCGCAAAAAGTGAGCGGTCAATGGAAATATAAATTAATGAGGAAAATTTCATAAGAGACACTATGCCAAAGCGGAGAAAACAACTATACAACATTATGATGGATATCGAAAAAAATCACAGACGGAACCCCGCATAGAGATTTATCCCACAGACAGTTTAAAAAAGCAAGTCTTCAAAGTCAAAGAATCCAAAGAATTCCACCTTAAAAATACATGTCTATTCTAAACCAGATCATTGCCATTTAGGCCTCACAAGGCAGCAATTTACATCATTGGTCATAAACAGCTTTGAATTAGCTTCATCTAAACCATCCAATGGTTAGAGATAAACTATACCATTTTTACTACAAAAATCAATTAGATAGCTAAGTTTAACAAACTCTACAATACATATTCTTATACCAGGAAAACGACCCACCCGCGAAAGCTTCCTTGAAGCAAGATACAGGGAAATATCAGAAAAAAATTGGACAACCTCGAATAAACAATATCTGCAATACCTGTAGTCGTCTTACAAAAAAAGACAATTCCAATCAAATAATAAATTTCCTTTCTGGGAATTGCAGTTCCACTATGAGACCATTGAAGACGTCAAGGGAGCAGTCATTGATTCCGTCTAAAACAAGAAAAAATAAACATTTAAAATACAAGCAAGATCCCATGACAAACTAACCAGGTTCGTAGTAGAAGGGATTTGATCTCTTTGAACTACTCGGTCCCGTTGGTCCCCATCGAATACTAACTTCACTTCCCTTTGGGAATCATTCTGTTGGGCAGCCCCTAAACGAATTCTAGTACAGAGGCGTAGTAGCACTTTGACAACTGTAATAATGTGCCCGACAAAACTAATGTCCTACGTCATCACCGTTCAATTTTAGCACCCTTCCAATATTTGATCAAAAAAAGGCAGCAAAGACATAATTCTTGCTACTAAATTTAGACCATTTTCAGTGACCAAGCAGAAAATCAAACCGTCCGCAAAGGCCTCCATATCGGCATCCACTTCCTCCACAGTCCTCCTGTAAACAGGGTTGTCAACGTGTAAAATAACGAAACGATTAGGTCGTCGACGATACCACAGATATCCCTGCAAAGAGAAGCTACGCCAAAAACCTCAGTGCAAAAAAGTCGAACTTACTTCAGAAACAATTTCTTAACATATAAATCATACCGCAATCGTAAAGACTGAGAGCATTAGGAAGAAGAAGAATGTTGTAAGGGAAAATGCAGGAGACGTACCCGTCGCTTGTACTAAAAACAAAACAATACAAAAAATGTTTTAGAGGAAATACTGCCTACAAGTAATAAAATTAACAAAAAAGGAACGTGAACAAAAGAGAACAGTCTTGCACAGTCTGTCCAAAGGTTTATCTAACCACAAAAGAAAACAGATCCTTGAGAACTATTTGAAAGTTAATCAGGGCGAATACGAGGACCACGAATGAAACATTACTAGAAACACCAAATAAATTGATTGATATTAAAAGCCCACATGTATCATACTCTTCTTTCATAATGCAATAAGTCTCGCCAGAAGAACGGAATACAAATCCATTCGCGCAAGCACAAGTGTACGGAATTCTTGAATGAAACATTTCACCTTCTTTTTCGTCATCTGAAAGTTATCAAACAAACTACGGAATGCCTTTAAATTTAACAAACTGCCATTTTTCTTGACACTACAGCAAAAGCTATCAAGTACGTCAAAAACTAATAGCGAAAAACTCTTAACAAGTAAAATAAACTTCAAGTGTTCAAAGTCTCTGAGAAATACAACCACACTAAGTAAACACCAAAGCTTCTCTGAAAACTAACACAAATACGGCCGTGGTAAACAAAGGTGATGGCACTCATGTCTGTAACACTTATTTGGATGGTTCGGTTGTACTGCTTCATGGTATACTCGCACTGTCAACGGCCCCGATACACCACGCATTATCTAAAATAAGTTCTTGAGACATCACATTAGAAAAGACATCTTAATTTGACTATTGAGGTTTGAGACGTTGTTCCGTCTCAACTCTGAAGCCAATAAACAAAAGCAAAAGCCGATTATAATAATAATGATAGTGACAATGATAATGATAATAATAACAATAATAATGATAGTG